GACTTTTTGATATCAAATTAAAATTAATATTAATTAATATTTAGTATTTATTTATAATCAAATAATTTATATCTATTAATAATAAATAATAAATTAATATTAATCATGAGTATAACTGGAAAAAAAATGGTAAAAACCTCTTAAAATTTATTAAAACACTATTTCAAATAACGTTTAATAAGCTAGCTACAGATAAGGTTTAAAAAAAATAGGATAAAAAACAAAGTTGATTATATATTTTTATACAATATCTTCAATTATATACAATGCATTTCAGTAAAATCAAAATACAGTAATTTAATGATTACTGATATACAAAGTTGGGAGCTCGGTATTACATGGTTTCTTCTCAATCTCATATGGCCATATGTTTCTCTATCCCAAGTCTCATCCAACATGCCCCCACCCCATTAATTTCCTGGATCCACCATTGTGTATGCCTCTTATATTTTCCAAAAACCCTTTTTTTTAAGTTTATATTATATCATCATCTGGGTTTTATCAAACATGACTAATTTATTTGCTTATACCAACCATTACCTTTTCAGGTAATAACTATGTACTGCCCCATGGCTCAAGGTTGACCCAATAATCTCCAAACAACCTAAAACTATAACAAAAATTATTGGTAGTCAATAAATTTGAATTTATAAACAGCTCACAAATCTCATTTATCTATACAGAACAAATTTTTACAAATTAATTTATCAGTCAACAATTAATTTATCAGATTGTTTATTTAATATAACCTTATTAAATTTAGAGTAAATTCATGTTTCGACCGTATGGTTAGGTGTATTTAACGTCTTTGTCCTTTTTTTCTAAAGTTCAACGTAACATGTCCTTTTAGTTGCATTTTTAACCATTTACATCCTCGTGTTTGTGTTTTTTTTTATTAATTTGGTCCCTATGATTATAGATTTTTAATGAGTCGAGTCCCTAGATGAATCAACAACTTAGGGGCTGTTTGTTTGGCTCTTAATGGTGACATTAAGAGCCAACCTCTTAATCGGTAAGAGGTAAAGACTGTTTGGCAAAAAAAATAAACCTCTTAATGGTTACATGACCCTCTTAACCATTTTGTGTCTAGTAGTTCACTCAACCATTCAGATATCATTTGTTCCATATTTACCCTTCCCACTCCTCTCTTCCAGCATCACAATCCTTCCCTCTCTTCCATCGTCGCTTTCACAAGCCGAGGAGTCTTCCAGCATAGCCTTCACGATTTCCACCGTCTCCATCTCCGGTCACCTTCACCGTCTCCATCTCCGGCCTTCCACATCTTCGCCGGTTGTCGCCTCCACCGTCTCCATCTACAGCCCTTTCTACACCAGCGATTCCTTCACATCGCATCCCCCCCAAAAAAAATCTCCTCCAAAATCTCCATCTGGGTTGTCAAATTCTTCACCAAATCTCACCATTTTCATCTGGGTTTTCCATCAATCCACCAAAAAATGGGTATATGCATCAGCAAAACTCGCATCATTTTCATCTGGGTTTTCCATCACCATTTTCATCTGGGTTTTCCGATGTAGTTTTTCACTCAAATCAAAGATCCGACGACCCCAACATACTCTACACCAAATCCCCACCTCCGGCAACCCAAACTCCGGCGAGAAAACCACAGCCACTGTCAAGCCCCAAAAGGGTTTTCAAATCGAACACGATTCTCGGCAAACCAAAAGGAGATAAAGAGGATATGAGAAGAGAGATTCAGATTATGCAGCATTTAAGTGGGCAAGCAAATATAGTTGAATTTAGGTGCTTAGGAAGATAAACTTTCTATTCATTAGGTTATGGAGGTTTGTGAAGATGGACAGCTTATCGATGGGATAATTAATTATATTGGAATTTGATTTTTATTTTTTTTAAGAATTTAAACAAGTAATGTTATGTGGTTTGGATTAATATGAAAACTTGTAATGTTACATTTACAAAGTAATTGTTTTATTCAGATATCTGCCAAACAGTTATATTTCATTCGGCACTAAATTATACAGAGGGTTAAAATGGTAATTTGTTATCATTCAGAGAATATTTACCAAACAACCATATTTCATTCAGCACTTAATCATTCTGACCCTCTTAATCATTCTGACCACTTAACCATTCTGCACAAAATCATTCAGCAACTGCCAAACAGCCCCTTAGGTCCTTTTTGTTGTATTAAGAGTCTAAGGAGCTGTTTACTTGCGGCTTAATTAGATTTATTGGTTTATTTGGCTTATTCGCACAGCTCATTTGGGTTGTTTACTTACGGCTTATTCGTACAGAACATGACTTAATCGTACAGATACAAATGGTGTGCTGTCCCCATTCAGCTACAAAAATGACACCCCTATCTCTTATTTAAAGCACCGCCTCCTTCCCATATGAGACACCCAATCTTCGGCCTCTTTATGATTTTTTATTTTGATGTTCAAATAATTAATATTGGGGGTAAATCGGTCATTTATGTTATTCAGACTGTTGATTCAGATAAAAAAAGTAAACAACAACACCCATTTATCCAGACAAACAAATTTATCCGGACAGATAAATTTATCCATACAGGACTTAATAAAAAATTGGTAAACAACCCCTAACTCGTTGTAAATATACAACCATAAAGACACAATGTCACAATCTGTAAATTTTCAAAAAGTAGACAACTTACTGTTGAAAACATATAACTAAAAAACATGCAATTTACTCTTAAATTTATCTTGATATGTAAGAGCATTTTTAGTATTTTTTCTATAAATTTTCTAAAATAGAGAACCAAAATATAAATTTTCTAAAAAGAAATATATTCATCTCCAACAGATTCTCTATTTTTAGAAATTTTAACATACGTGATATTATTATAATATTCTTTAATTTATCAACCCAATACACTTTTTTTTTAAATTATAAAAAATTAATAAATCAATCTTATTGGTGGAATTGAATAAAATAATCATTTATCTCTTCCATCATCAAATTTTAGAGAATTTTCTTCATAATTCTCTATTTTAGAGAACAAGAGACCAAAACTGTTGAAACATTTTAGAATACAAAAACTCACTTTGGAAATGCTCTAAGATCCCACATTGGTTGGGGAAGGGAACAAATATTGTCTTATAAGGGGCTTGATACTTCCACTATCAGACGTGTTTTAAAAACCATGAGTCCAGGTGTGTGGACAAAACGGACAATATTTGATATGATTAGTCTTAAATGTTACAGATGGTATCAGAGCCGGAACCAAACTGGTGTGCCAACAAGGACGCTGGGCTGTCAAAGGAGGTGGATTGTAAGAACCCACATTAGTTGGGGAAAGAAATTAAGATTGCCTTGTAAAAGGTTTGATACCTCATCTATCAGATACATGTTAAAACCACGAGTCTAGGTGTATGAACAAAACAGACAATATCTAGTACAGTTAGTCTGAGATGTTACAGATGGTATCTAAGTCGGGAACTAGACTGGTGTGCCAGCGAGGACATTGGGTTCCCAAGGGGTGGATTGTAAGATCCCAAATTGGTTGGGGAAGGGAACAAATGTTGCCTTATAAGGGATGACTTAATACCTCATCTATCAAACGTGTTTAAAAACCGTGAGTCCAGGTGTATGAACAAAACGAACAATATTTAGTACGATTAGTCTGAGATGTTACAAATGATATCAAAGTTGGGAACCAGACCTCCTCTATCAGACATGGACAATATCTGATACGATCGGCCTGAAATACCACATGATACTAATGTTTTGAGATTCATGACGTGTCAATCACTCACCATTCATTGACCATGTATGTATATGTGTATGTATATAATATGTTGGCATGTTCATAGGATGGAATTCTATAATGAGTCATTGATGAATTGGTTTATTCCCCTCATCACTTTATCCCTTTTTCTTTTTATTATAATAAAATATAATAAAATTAAATAGTTGTTGATAGCATAAAAACAAGAAATTTGTCCTAAAATCTATTGTTGGATTCTTTGATTCCCCTAAGCCTACAAACAACAAAGAGAATCTGCCAATCCCACCACATCTTCCACCAAATTTAGCCAAATTAAAGCCATCACTTTCAATCTCCAAAAGAAATATCCATCAAAAATCACCCATCCCACTAATGTAAATCATCTTTCCTCAAAGCCGAACCCTCCTCGCAGTTTTACAAAGTTGCATCCATTACCATCATGGTAGGGTTTCTTTTTAATTCGGTAGGAATCAAGCAAATATCTTTGTGTTTTTCATTCTTAACTAGGGTTGGATCGTGGATGGATAATATAATAACCCCCTTTTGGTTCTTGTTGTTGGGTGTTTTTTATACACCAATTCAAATGGGATGCACTCCACGTGTTTGATGAAAGTCCCCAATGACGATTATGAGTTGAGGTAAGTGTTTTGATGAAGCTTCAATGAGTGTGGTGTGATTGTGTGAAAATGCGAGGAGTGGGTAATGGAAAACATCAAGATAAAAACAAATCATGCACTTTTTTTCTCTGCTTTTGAGAGACTCCAATGGAACTGTGTTTTGCTTTCTTTGTTTTTGCACCATTAAAGATTCTCTTCATGCCATTCAAGTCAAAGGAAAAATGAATAACAAATGCTTTTTCTTCTTTGTTTTTGTGGGTGAATATGAAATGTGAATTGAGAGAAAGGTAGAGGCACAGCTCATGAGAGCATATATTCCCTCACCTTACATAACCCCACTTGTGTTTCCTGATATGGTGTGAGAACAACCAACTCCCCC